AAAAGATTTTTTTGAAGTGTAAAATACCAGATAAAGACTGAGTACAGCTTAAGATTCTGAAAGTCTATAAAAGAAGGGGACCTCGAAGGCTAACTAGCTTTAAAATTTGGACACCAAAATCCCTAGGTCAAAATCTAGGTCAAATACATAGTTTTTCCTTATTTTTGCGATTCTGGCACTACACTTTTAGGATTTGCTTCGAAATTTTGTATACAGGTAGCAAAGAGTGAGCTTATAGTGTTAGCCTTTTGCCGTCAGAGAGTATTTTGACCCACTTTTGAGATATGGTGTCCGAAAAGTAGGTCAAAATAAAAAATTCTCCAAATTTTACGTATGAGTTATGAATTAAGAGTAGAATTTTCTCAGGAATCCGAATCTGCAAACCAAATGTCGATCCGACTTCCAGTTCCAAAGTAATGGCGTGTCCTAAAAGTAGGTCAAAATAAAAATTCGCCAAATTTAACGTATGAGTTATGAATAAGGGGTAGAATTTTGTCAGGAATCCGAATCTTTAAATCAAATTTCGATCCGACTACCGGTTTGAAAGTTATGGCGTTTTGAAATTTCGAGAAAAATCGATCTGATGTTATCCTGATAGAAAGTCAAGGAAAAAAGATTTTTTTGAAGTGTAAAATACGAGATATAGATTGAGTACAGCTTAAGATAATGAATTCCTATAAAAGAAGGGGACCTCAAAAGCTACCTAGTTTCAATATTTGGACACCAAAATGCCTAGGTCAAAATCTAGGTCAAATTCATAGTTTTTCCTTATTTTTGCGATTCTGGCACTACACTTTTAGGATTTGCTTCAAAATTTTGTATACAGGTAGCAAAGAGTGTGCTAATAGTGTTAGCCTTTTGCCGTCAGAGAGTATTTTGACCCACTTTTGAGATATGGTGTCCGAAAAGTAGGTCAAAATAAAAGTTCTCCGAATTTAGCATATGAGTTATGAAATAAGGATAGAATTTTCTGAGGAATCTGAATCTGCAAACCAAATTTCGATCCGACTTTCTGTTTGAAAGTTATAGCGTTTGAAAGCTCAAAAATTGCTAAATTTGGTGCCCCATGTTATGTCAATAGGGAAAAAGATTTTTTTGAAGTCTAAAATACCAGATATAGACTGAGTACAGCTTAACATTCTGAAAGCCTTTAAAAGAAGGGGACCTCGAAGGCTATCTAGCTTTAAAATTTGGACACCAAAATGCCAAGGTCAAAATCTAGGGCAAATTCATAATTTTCCTTATTTTTGCGATTCTGACATTACACTTTAATGATTTGCTTCGAAATTTTGTATACAGGTAGCAAAGAGTGTGCTTATAGTGATAGCCTTTTGCCGTCAGAAAGTATTTTGACCCACTTTTGAGATATGGTGTCCAAAAAGTAGGTCAAAATAAAAAAATCTCCAAATTTAATGTATGAGTTATGAATTAAGGGTAGAATTTTCTCAGGAGTCCGAATCTTTAAACCAAAATACAATCTTACTTCTGGTTAGATAGTTATAGCGGTTTGAAGTCTCGAAAAGTCGATATGATGATATCCCCATGTTAAGCCAATGGAGTCGAAGATAAAAAATGGAGAGTTGTCTAAATGTCTAAATTCTAGCTGACTCGATCAGCTTATTCTGGATGACTCAGCTTACAAGTATTCTGGATGACTCAGCTTAAAAAAAGAATTAAATCTGGAGTCTTAAATTGAACTTGTTCAATTTACATGTCTAGTTGTTATTCATTTTTGTCATATTCAATAGGGCTAACATTATTACAGTGCATTAGACCAATAAAAACTTGTCACTCTGAGTCACGTTTCCTCTGAAAACGCACCTTTTTCTCCACTGGGTTTTTCCGCCACCGTCACTCAGCATGCAAGCCTGTGGCACGTAAATTGTACCATGCTTTTAAAATGTCAGGTCTCCCTGATAATTTCATGATAACATTTGACACAGCTATATTAACATCTCTGAAGGATCTAATGCCAAGAATACTTGAAATTCGAGATTCGTAATGTTTTACTTCATTTTGGACAGTATTGAACAGTTTGAACGGGTTGAACTCATGTCCGTGGACAAGAAGATTGACATCCTCTATCTGGGCTCAATCTAGGGAACACTTCACAAAACTAGACCCAGAGCAACAAGTTTTTATCATTTTATTGGCCTAATGCACTGTAATAATATTGAATATTACTCAAGTGAATATCATTAATCAGACATAATTATTAATATGGCAACAGTCATATCTGGAAAGACTTTAGGCGGCCGAAAATTCAATAGCCAGACAATATTTTAAATTACGTTAAAAGTTCAATTGTTCAAGCAAAAACCTGTATTTTATTGACAGTGTAGTGTTTTGGGAAAAAGTCCGTCAAAATCATAAAATTGGGAATTTCGTTAAAATATTTTTTTTCCATGTTGGAAATTGTCTCCAGAATAAAATATGAAAATTTTAATAAGAATGGTTGTTCTGTTGCAAATATAGAGTAAAAAAACGACTGCATCATACAACCTGTCCGGGGTACTATAATAAGGAAAAATTGACATCGTTTCTCCATAATATGATGTCGCGTATCGAAACTTTTACAAGTTGGTAAAGTGAACCAGAATGAAAGGAACCATCTTTCGAATAAAATAAAAATAAAGGACCCACGGTCCTGTGCTCACACAGTTTGGAAGTCCGAACCTTCAGAGGAATGTATATCCTGACTCAAACAAAAATATTGATTTGGATTTGTAGTCTCGAACTTTGAGAAACTTAGATAGCACAGTTGTGTGACCTAGTTTGATGACATTTGACCTTGAAAATTTTACTTATTCAGAGCTCAGTAAAGTCTTTTGTGATAAAGCTGACCAAAATTTACATCCAAAAATCAATTTGAAAAATCAACTCAAATCCTAAAACTAATGTCAGATTTGAACTCCTGGCAACATGTAGATGATTTTCAAAAAAAAAATTGGTCAAATTGAAGCAAGTTGAAAAATAACTTATTTTTACTGTTTCTTGACGTCAAATATCTCAAAAACGGTTATTGAAATTTGATGCTGACATATATTGAGCAATATGTAGGGAATGCTTAAATCTCGATGTAATTCATTGCAAGAAATGATTAAGTATAAGGCAAACTTTGAGAAACGTGTCAATCGCAAAACCTGCCATTGACTTTATACATGAGAAAGTTTCCTGAAAATGACTCCTACTCCTAATGAAGTCCTACTTTTTGTCAAATTAAACATCAAAAACTAATTCCAAGAGCTTTGGAATCTTCAGAGGACATAAGTTGCATATACAGCAACTACTACAAGTTAATTTAAAGTTCTACTTCAACAAAGTGTCTAGTTTTTACAGAAAATTTGACTTTTTGACGTCAAAATCAGCAATTTCTCGGAAACCGGGCGAACTTGGGAAATGGCGATGATAGGTCGTCAAATAGGCATTATGGATATGCGTAAAATGAATGTGGATATGACTCAATCCGAATAGTAGTTCTAATTTGTGCGGCCAATGTTGACAGACGGACGGGCCAACGGACGCCTGGTCGATCCCATAGGCTCACTGTGTGAGCCGAAAACAATGACTATTATGATTCATATTGGAGACATGTACCAAGTGCATTTGAAAATAAATAAACTGCATGCAAGAGTCGGAATACTTAGATAGCCCAGAACACTCGCGGCGAGTAAATCACCCCCCCCCTCTAATATTCTCTGTATATCGAAGTTTAATATTATGAATACTATAGGCCTTTAAAGGCCTTTTCAAATGTGAGCTCATTATTGAAATTGAGGTCCGTTTTATCAAAAGTGGGGCATATTTGTGATATTGAGACCCAACCGATAAAAATATTCATTCATCTCTTCGAGAAACATAATTGAATGGTAAATCGAAAATTAAAGTATCGAGTGTTTTTGATAAAACAAGTTAACACAAAATAAACTTGGGTCAAGTCAGAATACGTCGGAAGTCGGAATACAGTACTTGGCCGGGTAACCAATAACAATTGGGGCTTCATACACGTACATTACATATTCATTATGTTCAGTAGGCTACTGCAGTATGAAAATACAGGGTGGTCAAAAAAATGAAATGAACAAAATGGCTAAAAAACGTTGAATTCGATCACACGATTAGCATGTGTTCAAACTCGAAGCATATGAATAATTTAAGGTTACAAATATGGTCGGGCTTTTACATTTTCCTCTCACCCTGTGTTGAGGCTACCTATGGAAAAAACCAACCCCCAACCGTAAGATGTACATGTATCACTTTGGAATGCATATTGGTTTGCATGTAATGCTTGGTAACATTTGGTTTTCAATTCTGGACCGAGTATCGTACGGGTGCCGGACGATTGTCGGGCACCATCGGCCGATTATCAGACGTACGGTCGCCGCACTCGCCGGGAGATTTTTATCGCGGGGATCCCTTTCCGATTTTTCTCAACCGAAAGGTATCTGAACCTACTCCTACCTATGTCTATTGACAGTCTAGATATTACAATGTGTTGATAAGCCCTCCTAGACTCTTCCATCAGTGGCGATCATCAGTTCCGACCTCGCGAACTGCGTTCATTCCACCGGAACCACGGTTCTCACAACGCGAATAAATACTTAATAAATACTAATCCACTCTCCCAAACATATTAATCCACTTGCGAACGGAGTTCCACCTTGCGAAAAACAAAACTGTCGTTCGCCATGTGGGATTGGTGCGAGAGTGAGGAACTGATGTTTCCCCGACTAAAGAATCAATATTCGCGTTGCGAGAACCGTGGTTCGGTTGGAACTTCCGAAGGAACATAGTTCGCAAGTTGATCGCGTTAGTGGAAGTCTAGGAGGCCTGAAGATGAACAATTGTTTATAAATTGATAATTGAAAAAGCCCTAGGTATGGCAAAATGTGTTTGGCTTTATATGAAGAATTTCTAACTGCTGCATTGTAACTATCTGCACAAAGATATGAAATTGATAAAGGCCAACTGTCTCTATAATCCAAAAAAATACTGCAATTGTGCTCATAATATAATATACCTAAATGGTATTTATTTCCTCAGATGTACAGTGTACGGATGTGTTTAGTCATTCATCTTGAAAAGATAGAGGATAAAACAAGTACTCCAGGTCATGAATGTTATGAACATTATTTTGGAAATACTTTCAACAAAAGCCTTATCATATATTTTCATCACATAATATTTACATTTTATCAAATCAATTCATTATTTTATCAAATGTGGGTTTTCTGGTAAAAGAATAATATCCAGGAAAAAGTTCTTTACATGAATTATTAAATGTTTCATATAATCATTGGCATTTAGAGATGTCATATCAAGTCACTATTCGTCCCTTCAAGTATTCCAGAATTGCAAGAGTCCCTTTTGCTAATATTGCTGGCCGTGGTGCCTTGAAAAGATTCCCTTCCAGTTTCAAAGCTCTGAAATCAGATATGGATATGTTTAGTGCATTATGTCTACAATATGAGTACATCTTTATATTGAAGCATAAAAAGTAAGAACTAATTATTCTGGAGCATAATTTAAATGAAACCAATCAATAAAATAGCTATATATCAAGTCTAAGTACAAGTCCCTGTGACCCCCGTCTACTTGACTGCACAACTTCTCACAGAGGGATGAGTGAGTGTTGGGATGAGTGACAGGGGGGTCACAAGGACTTGTAGCTAGACTACTAATTAGATTAGATACCTTAGATTGTCACAAGTTCCTAATTCCGGTGGAACATTTCGAATAGCATTATTCTGCAAGTCTAGTGTGGATAATTTTTGTAATTTCTTCAACTGGGAAACTGGAATGTCTGCAATCTGATTGTCGCTTATGAGGATCACCTCCAGGTTTGGTAGTTCGTATAATACTGCAGGAATCATTGGAAATCTGCAAGGAAATAAACAAATTAACATGATGTGTTGGGGTATTCTCTTGAATATTGATTTCAACACTGATAGGTATATTAATAACAAAGTACCATGAAGTTTGTGATAATCATTCATATATCAGAGCATGTGGTTCTCGAATTGCTCATTTGAATCAGTGTTCTTACAGTGTCCCAGACATTTCCAGGCAAAAAAGAAATTTCTGATACATCGTAAAACATATGTCTACTCCTTTGATTGTGTCTAGAAATGCAGTCGTAACATAGGCCATGGCTGCAATAATTACAGTGCTATAGTGAAAGCAGAATGAGTAGTGGGGGGAGGAGTTTTACTACATGTGTTTCAGTTTCAGTATTGTCTACAGTAACCCATTATCACTATGTATATCTAGGTATGTTTTAAGTTTTTTTACTATGGAATATTATAAAACCCATATAGAAATACAATTAAGAGTTTTGATTTTGAGGTTCTTTACACGCATTATGACTCTTACTGGGTGAGCAATTTTTTCAACCTTGATACTCCAGAAAAGAAGTAATTTTACCACTGAAACTTACCTATTATAGGACAATGTGATTTCTCTAAGACTCTGTAATGAAGTCATCTCTTGTGGCAGTTGACTGATTTGGTTGTTAGATAAGTTTAATGTTTGCAACTTCATACAGAGGCTTATATCTGGATGAAGAGCATTTATTCGGTTGATACTTAAGTTGAGGTTCAGCAGTGTACTTGACATCAGAACAATGCTGCAATGTAAAACAAGACAGACAGTATTAAATAACGCACTTGAAGAGCAAAAATACAATAATTTTAAGTTGTAAATTACATCAAAAGTCAATTTTATTACACCTGTGTATCACATTCAGCATCACACATCCGAAACCTTTAATAAACAAAACAAAAACATGACTTACTTTTCAGGATATTTTGTTAAAGTATTTTTACTGAAATTGGCATCTGTTATTTCATTATTGCTGACCAACTCCCAGATGTCTGTTGGGATCTCTGATACTTTCTTTCCACTGAAATTAGAGTTTTGGCAAATGTCGATAAGGTGTGAGTAAAGGCATTATAATGATTTTAATTAATATTTGGAACGTGAAAGCAATAAAGGGAGTTGAAGAAATTAATATTGTAAGGAAAATGTAAGCATGTTTTTTGAAAAGATTGCTTCCAATATTTACAATCTCTATCTCAATCATGAACACCTAAAAATTAAAGTCTTACAGACATGAGAATAGATAATTAATCAAAACTCAGAATTTCACCTGTTAACAAACATACAAAAAGTTGTTCAATTCATTTTGTTATCACAACAAAACAAACCTTACCTATAATCCAGTGATTTGGAGCTAGCTACATCATGAGCATTCACCTTGTCTCCAGCATCTCCTATTACACCACTTGCCCCTTGTGTGGATTGAACTCCCTTTGCTCCACCCTGTGTAGGTGCTACTGGCTCATCCATTCTACTTCTTAAGTACTTCTTGATCTCATTAGTGCCTCTCTGAAAACATAAATATGCACTCAAAATTGATCTTCATCCATGGGTTCATTCTGAACTTTAAATTGAAATTCAAATTAAAGAACCTGTTGAAATATCTCCATAGTAGAAAGTTAAGATCTAAGATAATCATTTATCCCCCAGAAAGTATTTCCCAACTCTCTGATGTTGAAGCCTTATGGGGAATGCACACAAAAAACATTTTAAGATAAACATGTTTCGCCTGTATTGCCCTCAAATGGCTCAATAGAATTAAATATAACATTTAAGTTCTGTGTAGGTGTGACAAAATCTAATTCAACAGTAATGAAAATACTCAATAATACATGTCGACTATTTTCAAATCCAAGTAACAACTTACAGCTGCCAGCTTACCATTATAATGTCCCTCCTGATGGATTTCATTGGGTTGCCATCCAGAACTATAGCTTTAAGCTTTTGTAATGTTCCAAGCACATATGGTAAGCTGAAAATATAAGAATGCAGATTTCAGTGAACTTGATTACTATGAGAAGGATCACATATGTTGGAGTGCCACGATTCAGTGGTATCATTAATACTCGGCTCACATGCAGTATGGGTTACTGTGGAGGTAAAGCAATTTATCATTACTTTTCAGTATATTTCCAAAAACTCATTTCACCACATTACAGGAAAGAAACTTTGATTGCATCCCGTCTTTTCCCAACACATTCAAAATGGCCACATTGACGTAGCCAATATGCCTGAAAGCTTATAAGCTCAATAACTAACTGAATAAAAGTACCTGTATAATTTGAATGAAATCGATAGAATATTTTTTTAGCTGAAAATATGATTTTTGGCAATAAATGTGTCGGCCATTTTGTTAAATCATTATTGTTTAATCTAACCTATTCCAATCTAATCTGTTAAATCATTGTTGGTTAAATCTAACCAATTACAACCTACCCTGTTAAATCATTGTTGGTTAAATCTAGCCTCTCTAATCCCTGCAGAAGGGTTATCTCCTCTGGTAGTTTTGCAAGTTTGTTGTCATTCAGAACCAATACGGAGACAGCTTGGAGATGTTCGAGGTGTTCAGGAGTTAAACCAAGTATGGCATTGTTCCCTATATTGAGCTCCTAAAAATACAATGTTATTGGACTTACATGGAGTTTACAAGTGCAATACCACTGGGTATTCTACATGGATTAAGGCTACTGGATTCTTTCAATCGTTTCTCTTACCTTCAAGTCTTTACAAGCTCTGAGCAGGGGTAAATGAGTAAGTTTGTTGTGACGTATAGAAAGTTGCTGTAGTTTTTCTAAGTCTCCAAGTTCTGCAGGGAGACTATTCAATTTGTTGTGGGTCAGCTCAAGTGTTCTTAGTCCTAAAATAAAGTAAAAGTATTTTATTGCCTCAAAGCTGCAAATGTTCAAGCTGCAAATGTTCAAGTAAATGAGGGGAGTGATGATTAGAATTGAAAAATAGCCAAACATACTGTTCTCATAAAGGAGATTTTGAGTTCATATTTGAACATAGAAAGCAAATGCACAAAAGTCAAGTACAATTTTCTAAGAGTCAATATTTCTTGTATTTCATTTTAAATATCTTTTCTCCATTGATTAAACAAAACATTTCAATATTTCCTTCTATTTTTGGGGAAACCTGTGCCACTTTTAAAAGCAAGAATTCGAAGACCATGCATTATTGAGCAGTTCAATACAATATTTGCGCAACCCTTCAATAATACTTAAGTTTTCCCTACCTCTCATACTGCCTATCTCAGGTGGGATTTCCTGCAAGTTATTGTTTGCGAAGTTACATTTCATAACATGGGTCAGATAGCCCAATGAAGCTGGGAGACTGGTCAGGTTATTGTGGGAAACATTCTGAAAAGTGAAAAAACAACAATAAGACACACAGTGAACAATACATGTATACATGTAGTGTTCAATTCATTATGATATATAAGAGTTCCTCTTTATTTAATGCTTTGTTAATCCCAGTTGAGTAAAAGTCAGGGAGAATGGTGGTCTTCACTCATACAGAACATCAAATTGTTATATATACATGTATATATATATTTTTTATTCAGTTTTATTCATTAAAATCATTTCAAAATACAAATACAAGTTTAAAGGAAAACAAGTTTGAAAACAAATTGTTATATTTTCATGTATCCCTTTATCAGGCTCCAAAACTCACACAATTGCCAATTGGCAATATTTTAATTGTAGCAATCATGTTCTGAATTTTAGTCATGAACCCTGGCCTACAAACATTTAATAAAGAACTGCTTACCAAGTCTTCCAGGCTTGTGAGTTTGCCTATATCCTCTGGAAGATGGGAGAGTTGGTTATGTTCCACATGAAGGAGGGACAGGTTAACCAGGCTGCTCATACATTCTGGTAGTTCTGTCAATTTGTTATGCCTAGAACAACAAGTTCTTTACATTATCTTCCCATAATTTTGTTAGACATCTGACTTACATAGGAACTCTCTTTTGAACCATATACGTAACATAATTTTATACGATTTTGATGCAAATCCTCGAATCTCCATCAAAATCATCAGTTAGTAAATATACTGAAATTACATTTAACTGATAAAAATGCATGAGTTTCTCTCAACACATCTTAAAAATAAGTTTTACTCTGAGATGGATTTTTTTAATCGATATTAATAACAAAAACTAGAGTGTTGGACACCTGTTCTGGGTTTATCCCAATAAAATTAAAACTACACAAGTGTATACAATACCCAAGATTCAGTCTTTGTAGATTTCTCAATTCTGCGATAGTTGGGGGTATTGAAGATATTTCATTGTCATGAATCTAAAATCAAAAAATTATACAAGTAGGAATTTAGTCTTCAAGTGGCATGATTGCCAAACACTGTATGATATATCCTTTCTACTTTGTAGGTGCATCATTTTTTAAGCTAGATAAAGACACAGTGTAAAATAAAAAATTTATAATGAAAGCAAAAAATATAATTTGATAAAAATGTGACTAACTTACATCGAGAACAACTAATGCAGGTAGTAAGTTGACATCATTTGAAAGCTCAGTCAGTTTGTTTGAAGCGAGAATAAGTTTTGTGAGTTCAGCCTGATCCCACCATCTTTCATCTTGGTTATCTAGAGTAACATTCTTAGTTTCTTCTGGGACATCAATATTTATACGCCAGACACTATCAGGAACTGAAAAATGAAAACATTGTTTTTATGACTATAAAAAATTCATTACAAATATTCAAGTAATAGGACCGCAGGTATTAGAACAGACAGTATAGTAGAGTTGTCCAAAGAAATTTGCACCCAAATCTCTTGGCACAACTATCTCATCGGTTCTGATGCCTGTGATTTGAGGGGTTGTCCAAACTCTGCAAAACCCCAGGGGCCATGAATTCATACAATCCAAGAATCAATAGGGATAATTTTGTCATGGTAATGATGCATTGTTGAATTATTCTTGGAATTTATCCTAGCATTGATGAATTCTAACAATCTTCAAATCACAACCTAAATACTGTAGGTGGTTTATCCGCATTCCAATGTAATTTGGATAAATCTTGAGGAGAAACATGTATGGAAACCATACCCATTGACTACGTGAGTGAAGAGAGCTACAGTGTACAATCATTGCACTTCAGTATATGCTAGTATACCTAGTATGCCTTTTGCAGATTATTGACATAGACATAGACTAAAGACTAGCTAACATCACTCCTGTGTTCAAGAAAGGAGTGCGATATAAACCATCTAATTATCGCCCCATCTCCTTGACCTGCATCAGCTGTAAAGTCATGGAACATGTGATCGCAAGTACCATCATGCAATTCCTGGAAGACAACAACATCCTGTATGACTTACAACACGGATTTCGGGGGAAGAGGTCGTGTGAAACCCAACTGGTGGAATTCTTCCATGATCTGGCCTCAAACGACAACAAGAGGATCCAGACAGACGTTGTGGTTATGGACTTTGCCAAAGCCTTTGACAAAGTCTCTCACAGACATCTTCTCCACAAACTGGACAGGTATGGCATACGTGGAAACACCCTAAGATGGATAGAAGGCTTTCTAAAGGACAGGACTCAGAGGGTTGTCCTAGAGGGTAAACACTCAGAAAGTGCTCCTGTTACCTCTGGAGTCCCTCAAGGCACAGTCCTTGGGCCGATCCTATTCCTGATCTACATCAATGACCTCCCAGAGTACCTACAGCACAGCAAGTTGCGCCTCTTCGCTGATGATTCCATCATCTACAGAGAAATCAGCAAACCTGAAGACTGCCATCTCCTGCAACAAGACCTTGATGCTGCTCTGAGGTGGGAAGAGGATTGGCTCATGAAATTCCATCCAGACAAGTGTAATGTCCTGAGCATCACCCAGAGGCGAGACCCCATACGATTTCCCTACCAAATGCACCATCACCCACTTGAGCATGTTCCATCTGCCAAGTACCTGGGTGTTACCATTCAAGAAGACCTGAAGTGGAACATCCATGTCCAGAGCTCAGTGAAGAAGGCACACCAATCACTTGGGATGCTCCAACGTCATCTCTGGAAAGCATCCACAAGAATCAAGACCTTGGCATACTACACCATAGTCAGGCCTAAATTGGAATATGGTGCTTGCGTATGAGACCCTCACACACAGACACAGATACACTCCCTTGAGATGGTCCAGCATTGTGCTGCTCGATATGTCACTGGCAACTACAGTCGTGACCCTGGATCTATGACTGCCATACTTCACCAGCTACAATGGCAGTCACTCCAGGATAGAAGGCATCACCAACGACTAGTGATGTTATACAAGATCATCAACGCCCTAGTAGCCATTCGCCACACCACCTACCTTACTCCACCCACTAGATTGACCAGGTCTGCCCACCAAGATTCATACCAGCTATACAGTTGCAGAAAAGACTCCCTGAAGTACTCCTTCTTCCCCCGCACAATTGTGGACTGGAACGCCCTTCCCAGAGATGTCACAAGCCTACCCACCATCGAGGCCTACCGTGATGCCCTGAGGAAGAGGACCAACTAAGATCCCACTCTGTTTTTAAACTGTTTTTAAGGACAGGGTGCATGTTGGGAAATTTTCTGCATTCCTCAATTGAGTCACATGTTATTTTTCAAAGATGAATAACTCCTTCCCCACTTTGTCTACATCTTCCAGGTTTGCACAAAGAGTGCACCTTTGTGCCTAGAAAAGCCTTGTGAGAAGGTTTGTTTTGTAAAATGTATAAAAAATGAGAAAATTCAGTGAAAAAAAATTCTGAAAATTTTCTAATTTTTTTCACTGAATTTTCTTGTTTTTTATACACTTTATCAAAACATTCTTCTCACAAGTCTTTTCTAGGCACATAAGTGCACTCTTTGTGCAAAACTGGAAGATAAAGACAATGAAGAGAAGGAGTGATTCTTGTTTGAAAAATAACATGTGACTCAATTCAGGAATGCAGAAAATTTCCCATCATGCACCCTGACCTTAACCTGCTTTTAAATTGTACATACACAAATCTTTTTATCTTGCCACCCTCAATAAAATTGTCAAATCTGACAGAATTGAGTATCTGATGATGATGATGATGACATACGATCCACATACCTGTTCCAAGCTCTCTATTCGACAAGTTCAGTTGACCACTTTTACGAGCTGACTTCAAAATTGATGGATGCACTCCTTTGGTAGGTATTTCATCTGTTTTAGACCTTCCACCAAACGCTCCCCTCCCTCCTCTTCCACCTCTGAATCTATTGGTTGACATGTCTTATCGTAAAGAAGTGGTCCATTAAACGTAGCCAAGTATATCCAGAATGATTGATAACAATGTTACAAGAATGTTACACTAGAGGCAATCTGCGCGAGATTCCATTTTTTGGTTCGGTTTTTAGCGCATGCGCAATAAATCCAGCAATTTAATTGGTTCAAATTATTATAACGCATGCGCAATTAATAACTTATAGGAACATTTAATTTGAGATAGATGTCACTTACGTTCATTTTTTCACAGCAGTCCCTACCCATGATGCACCATATAGTGTGGGAATATTTTTGTTTATTGTCAAAACAAAAAGTATGCACCAAAACAAATGTAATGACATAATATCAACCTGCCCCGGAGTTGTAGACGTATGTTGTACAAACTTAAACCGAACCGATGGCAGAAAAGCACTTTGAATCATGGGAATGAAGTACTTCCTTTAATGAAAAACCGAACCAAGTAAAAACCGAATCTCGCGCAGATTGCCCCGACTCGAATGTTATCAAGAACTCTTGTGAAAGTTGTTACTCGTTAGATGTTCAAAAGGTCAAGGTCATTCATTAGAGTCAGCTTTCTTAGCTTTCTATTTTAAGTTTTGGCTGAAATTATTCAGTTCACTATGGCGTCTGCATTAGTAATCCTTGCAGAGGGCGCTGAAGAGATGGAAACAATAATTGCAGTTGATGTCATGAGGCGTGGAGAGGTGATAAACTTATAAAGACACTTTTGGGACTGTCTGTTTTTTTGTTATTTTTACTTTTTGGCTGGCTAAGACAAGAGGGGGGTTCAGAGATGACATACGTGAAGAAGAACATTGCAACATTATATGGAAAAATAACTTTTGTATATTTCAGATAGTTAGGCATACATGGGATCATGTGCACTCTAAGTTAGTAAAGCTATGGCCACATACAATCAAATGCAGGATTCCATCTGGTACAAGTACAACCGTGGCAATGTTAACAAATATCTGTCGAAATCTGGCGCAACTGTGCCTAGTTATAATTTTCTGCCACAACCTTAGCTATGTACTACACAATGATACATTAAGTAACATTGTTACTGTTGTTACCGACAGCGTAACACTCTTTAGCATTGCCACAATTGTAACAGCCAGTGTTACATTGAATAAAACATTGAAACATTGAAATTGCAGATATTGTAACAGACAGGCAGATAGTGTTACATTATTTTACATTATCATGCAAACAATGTTACATTATTGGAAACTGTCGAGATTGTAACAGTATAGGGTTACCAACCAAACTATGTTATATGCATCCTGTCATGTTGTCTGTTGTTACATAACATGTTACAAATTTTAACATTGTCACTGTTGTACCAGATATTGTTACTAATTGTTACATTATTACATTATTACATTGTTAACATTGTCACGGTTTCACCAGACATTGTTACATCATTTAACATTGTCACGGTTGTACCAGACATTGTTACATTATTTAACACTGAATCTGTTGTTACAAAAAGTGCTACACTTTTTAACATTGTCATGGTTGTACCAGACATTGTTACATTATTTAACACTGAATCTGTTGTTACAAAAAGTGTTACACTTTTTAACATTGTCACGGTTGTACCAGACATTGTTACATTATTTAACACTGAATCTGTTGTTACAAAAAGTGTTACACTTTTTAACATTGTCACGGTTGTACCAGACATTGTTTCATTATTTAACATTGAATCTGTTGTTACAAAACATGTTACAGTTTTTAATATTGTCACGGTTGTATTGGAAAGTGAATGTTTACAATTTGTGTCAAATACTGGATGAAGTACATGTAATTACAGAATAATGTTAAACTGTGTATTTCAGATCAATGTGACCCTTGCAGGCCTTAGTGGAGTAGATCCTGTGAAATGCAGTCGTGGTGTTGTCATAGTGCCTGATACCAGTCTTGAGAAGGCATTGGCGGGTGGCACAACCTATAATGTAGTGGTCTTGCCTGGTGGAAATGGTGGTGCTAAAGCAATGGCTGAGGTAAGTTCTGAGGCATCTTTCGATGAGAGAGCTATTAGATTTTAAAAGTCTTTATAACTGGGAAATTTTGCAGATAATGGATTATGATGACAAACTGCTGCTTTGAACTCCTAAAATTTCTCATACCCCAGTCCCCTCGATGCCTGTATTATCCAATGCAGATTCAGAAATTATTATGGGGATTTCATTGTGGTAGATGGGCCAACAAAATGTTAGAGAAATAAATATTTAAGTTTATTTTTGGCATTTTCTCTCTATTCAAGTCAGAAAAGGTGAAGGAGATTTTACAAAACCAGGAGAAAGCAGGTCGTACAATCGCAGCTGTATGTGCAGGTAAATATCATCATCAATCCTTTGAGCTTGCCAATATGAGAATGAATCACATTTTCACCATAAACATTTCAGATTTACTTACTACTTAGTACTACTGTAGTAAAATAATATCATCTTTTAGTTTAGTTGTATGGGTACAAATTATTTATTGCTTACATTTTTTCGAAATATCCCTAATTGTTTTTTCAGCCCCAATAGTTTTGGCCAAACATGATATTGCGAAGGGTTCCAGTGTAACATCTCATCCAGCTGTCAAGGACACCTTAGTCAAAGGTTAGTAACATCAGCCATCATAAAGGAACTCAGTCTAAAGTATCACATTATTTGTCTAATGCGTGTATATCTCAAATTTAAAAAAACATGATTTATGTCAAAATCAAATGCTTACATGTATTTACTACTAGGCTTATCATTTTCAAGTAAAATAAAGAATTTAATTTTAATTTAATTTTAATTGCCTTCCCAGTTTTATTACCGAGTATGTATACATTGCTCTGTTTGACCATGGCTAGAGGCCATAAAAGAACATTATATACCAATTCTAAATGAATGTTTCAGACTACAAATACAGTGAAGAGAGAGTGGTAAAAGATGGCAATATCATCACAAGTAGGGGGCCAGGAACATCATTTGAATTTGCTCTCAAAATTGTGGAAACCTTACAAGGAAAAGACAAAGCTGACTCTTTAGTGCCTCCTATGCTTGTGAAACTATGAGCTATTTTGTAATAAATGGATGGTGGGAAGAAAGTCCATGTCATTATTCTGGCATATGGTCATATAGAGCATACTAGCTGACTAGTTAACTGATATCTGAACTGACATACAGTACAATCTCATGTTCATTATGGAGATATAAATTATTATTGGAAAATAATGGAACTACTCAGATACTATCACATCCACTGGGAACCTTCTATACTTTACCAGTTCCTTTATTAGAGGCTTGGGAATTTCATACCATGGACTGAAACTAATTTTAAAGAATAACTAACATTATCCCTGACCACTGGGTGTGTACCAAATTAAGCGTGACAGTTGAATGCACAGGGTAAAGTACAACATGAAGATGATGCGATTTGAGCAAACTGATGTTGTCATCGTTTCAGAAAGATTTGGTCTAGTTTCTAGATATGTTTTATGTAAATGTCTGTAACAACATCCTAGACGGTGAATTTCATAATTAAACCTACACAAACTCCCAATGTAGTATACAGTATAATGCGAGGGTACATTTACCTGAGATACAGTATACCGCAAATTCACTTTCCTTGTGTTGTACCTTACCATGCTACCTAGCGTTATACCAGTTTGTGTAGGTTTGATTATGAAATTCACTGTCAATTTCAATGTCTAGGATGTTGTTACAGACATTTACTCAAATTTCATTACCCTCGTGTTGTACCTTACCCCGCGCTAAAATGGTCACACTTAATTTGGTACAAACCCTGTGCTGATTGTCGGATTGTTATAATATACAACGCAATAACTTTGCAGTAGCTTATTTTTGAAAAATATCAGTGAATTTACCGTAAAACATGTCTAAGTGAATACTACTGGGACAGTGTGAGGAGTATGTACAGTAATACTGTTTTAGAAGGTCTGATGTCACAAAACGCTAAAATATTGAAGATTAATCAAAAAATTGGAACCAAAGAGAGGTGCCCACTTTCAGGTTTTATTGTATTTTACCCAAAACTACTTCAAAAGTAGTTTTTATATTTTGTTTATCATATGTTTTGTGTATTTATGAATATTTAAGCTACAAGCAGAGGTGCATCTCTACAGTTGCGATGGTAAGGTGTTGAAAACATCATTAAAGTAATATGAATATAAATATTCTAAATATTTGGAATGAGAAAATTGTTCAGAATAAAACATTGAATTGTGAAAAGTGAATTATTCAATTGTTTTAATCTCTAAATCTTAGGCCTACAGAATGTCAAAAGTTCCAATGAAACAATGTCAAATTGTTTTTCTTGAAACTATTGCCCGGACCATTGTGGCTCCTCTCTGACCTCTGAAGAGACTTTCAGTTACACTGGCCATCTAAATATGACCAACAGACCAATAGTATGACATATTTCCTGGTGTAAAAGCTGTTCAATTAAAATATTGCTGGGGCCAGCTAAACTCTTAATTGGATACCATAGTTAACTGGATATAAGAATCAATTGACAAGTTTGATGTCCAAGAAATAACCCGTCAAGTCTCTATGACTAAAATTCAAATATAAGACTAATCAAAGAACAGGTGGTAGTCGATATGTTACAATGAAAAGGAACTCATATATCCAGTTAATCCATGATGAATGCTACAAATGCTAAGTTAACTTCCCTCCAAATTTGTAACAATCGATCAATCTGGGCAGATTTCAATAAAAATATTTTAAGCAATTTGGTTTGAAAATCTGTCTATGTCAATAATGTGCATTAGGCTAATGAGCCCTTTTGAAGCAGATATATCATTTAACAGTGATAAAGAAAATAATATAACTTAAACTTTCACATAAATCACATAAGAAAAAATGAGATGCGGGTTGACCAAAATTTTACGAGGGCATACTGCTGATAATTAACTCCATATGCCTACTTTTACCTCACTTTGGAGAAATCATTTTCATTTTTGATAACTAGGCCACATGTATATTTAAGTTTATCTCAATAAGTCACATCACAGACTTTGTTTATACAATAAATAAATAACAATAAAATCAACTTTTTATACCGGTACTTGTATTTGAATATCTGGTCTCCACAGTAACTACAATTATACAGCTGATATGTCAGTATTTGGGATAAAACATAAATAAATGCAGTTTATGGTGGCAAATTTTATAATAAAAACTATAATGGAATTCTGACCCCTTACTGACCAATTTAATTTTTCCCAACCTGGCCATGATGAAAGGAATAATAGCAAATTTTGTAATGGGAGTTAGGGATAAAAGGGATATCAGATCATAGAATATTATGCTTTTTACGCTAAATATTGAACATTTGACATATCAATTTTGACAAGACAAAATTCAAAAAATTAAATTTCAAATTTCCCTGATCTGGTTTCCTGACTAGCAATCCAGAATTCATTTTATTTTACATTCTATGGCAAATGAGATTCACAATTATTATTAGTACAGGTGATATGTATTAAATTTAATTACACGGTTGTCATTTCTGCCAAATTCATTCTTTTAAATCTCTTGAGAGGGAAGCATTATGATGAATACAGGTGTTATGGATACCTGAATTTGTTCTGATTTGCTATGTACAGAGCTTAGACCCTTGGTTTGGAACATAAAACAAAGAAATTGTACTTTGGTTTGGTTCTGCAACACAACTATCTTATCTTTTCATCTACTGAAACTTGCAGCACGACAAGACGGTAGGGCATTGCGTCCTGAATTCAGTTCTGCTTTTTAGTTTGTTCATTAAATGATTCAAATGTACACAATTAACAAGTGAACTGAACTAAAAATGTTCCAACCCAAAGCTAAACATTCCAAAGAGAACCAACTGTTCCAAAATATTTTTATTCTTTGATATCTTTATTAATTTTACTGCAACACAAATTTGATCCAATCTTCCACAATAAAATCCAATCCTTGAAGCTTAAAAGCACTGTACATTCCCATAAATGATACAATGTCATAACTTAGTAATTGCGCTAAATACTGCCAGCATTATAAACCACCTCCTGCACTATCGTCCTTCAAAACATATTTAGCATACGACTTATTCATTTGCTCAAGGAAAATGAATGTTAACACTGTGTGTGGGCCTAGCCTGGCATAGTAAGGAGTGAAGCCTTTCCATAAGCTGAAGAAGCCTTCATTCCGCATGGTCTTATAAACAACATCCTGGAAAACACGAAGGATCAAGAGTGAGATGAAGAATGTCTCAATGGTAAGAAGTAGGGGTGAGACGAGTCGAAAAAATCCGATTCGAGTCGAATCCGATTCGAGTCAGAAAATGACGATTCGAGTTTCGAATCCGTTTCGAGTCAGATAAAGTGCGAACAACATCGCTTTTGACCGTTCGTATTTTTAATGCATCAATGGTGGAAAGCCGGAAATATAAACAAACACAATTCGTCGTAAGTTTATTCTGATTTTATTACATATATTCTTTCATTTATGTGTACATACAATATAATAATTTAATACAAGCATATCCAAGTCATTGAAACTTATATATTCAACGCAATATCGAGTAAAAACATGCATATTGACAGTATTTTTCTGAATTTTTTTATTTTTTCGAATTTTTTTCTCAACTCGAAAATGATTCGATTCATCAACTTCGACTCGATTCGACTCGACTCGAAGCCCCAAACCCGCGAGTCCTCGACTCATCGGGTTGTCGTCTCACCCCTAGTAAGAAGCCTACACAATATAGCCTGTGAACATCTCAAAAATAAAGTGAACTATAAAGGTTGAAGGTTGTACCAAGGGATACAACCTTAAAACTAGAGAATTGAAATACCCTGTCTCAATTTTTCGAAGTATAATTGTAAAGAGTTTCAAGCGAAACTTTTTTGACTAATGTTTGGGTCTCAATTGAAATATCAATTAATAATAGATGCAGCTCCAGGTTTGAATCAAGTGATGCTTTCCAGACAGAGATTCATCTTTCTCTGCAGTGTAATACTGCATGACTGTGAACCTAAAATCAGCTAAGGTTTAGAGTGGTTTGTCTGTTATTATAACTGATACAGTCTCAATTATCCCGCAACACATATTCTTGATTGGAGTCTAAAAAGTAGGGGTGAGACGACAACCCGATGAGTCGAGGACTCGCGGGTTTGGGGCTTCGAGTCGAGTCGAATCGAGTCGAAGTTGATGAATCGAATCATTTTCGAGTTGAGAAAAAAATTCGAAAAAATAAAAAAATTCAGAAAAATACTGTCAATATGCATGTTTTTACTCGATATTGCGTTGAATATATAAGTTTCAATGACTTGGATATGCTTGTATTAAATTATTATATTGTATGTACACATAAATGAAAGAATATATGTAATAAAATCAGAATAAACTTACGACGAATTGTGTTTGTTTATATTTCCGGCTTTCCACCATTGATGCATTAAAAATACGAACGGTCAAAAGCGATGTTGTTCGCACTTTATCTGACTCGAAACGGATTCGAAACTCGAATCGTCATTTTCTGACTCGAATCGGATTCGACTCGAATCGGATTTTTTCGACTCGTCTCACCCCTACTAAAAAGTGCAGCCTGTGTTAACGAGTGCCTCTGGCTGCCCAGCAAACTAAGCGCAATATAACACCCTTGAAGTAATCCTCCATGTAAAACTTACCAGAGCACCTCTGTATTCAGGTTTTCCATCTATCATCTTCATATTCTGAATCCTGAAATGAGAATAAAGAAAATTAATTTATACATCAACTCGAAACCATATTATAGCAAATGTGATGACATTCATAACCATTATATTAATATTCTCGCTGAAATTCTCCCTTGAATAATTGAGAGTTAACTGACAAAAAGCTTGGTTCAATCCTTGTGGATGTATAGTGACTTGCAAGGATAGCAGGTTTCTTAACATGACACTTCCTCAAGTGTGTTCAACGCCTCATTTTATAATTCTGTCCACAGTTGGTCAAAATCTGCCTCACCGCTGTCTGAATATCCATGACAATCAGTCATCATGAACCCTGTCTTAAGAACTTCAATGCTAAGTACATCACTGATGTCTGTTCTTTGTTATCAAAATAGAAACTTACCTGGTTTTAGCTATATCTACGGGCATTGAGGCTGCAGTTGTTACTAAACCACTTATCATACTGGCACAGAAATGGAGGAAAATATTATCACCAAAGTAACCTGAAACACAATTACATTATTCTCATTTATCAATAAAAAGATACAAAAAGAAATGAAGAAGAGCTTATTTTCAATCAATTGTAGTCTATCACTTTTTCAATTTGATAGTTAGCATGAAAAGCATAATATGGATTTTTTACATTGTGAACACACCCAGTGATTGGAAAAAATTAACGAAGGGGGAGTAGCCAATTTTTGCTAGAAAATTTGACAAATCTTCAAGATTTCTTTTCATGAGAACATTTATGAATAAATCACAGATATCAGCTACCCCCTCCGTTTCATTTTTTGGTGAAGCTCTAATGCAATGAATAGGCAAACATGAACATAGGTATACATGAATATACAGGTAACATAGATATTCATTCGGTAGTTAATCAATATGATGATTGATACAAAATTTCCACACTGAAGTTAGGTCTTGAAATCAAATCTGTTATAAAATCTAGAAAAAGATATTTTACCCCCTCCAAGGCCCTAAACATAAACAAATAGTTATTACAATAGTCAATGTATGTCAAATACTGTATATTTACCTGTAGATTTCAGAGTTTGTTTTGCTTGTGAGTATGAAGCAAGTTGAGCAGCATTTACTACCATAGCACGTACCATAGTGGGGCCAGCCCCCTATTAACACAAAACATGCACTAAATGTATCACTACATTCTAAATGTTGGCTGTTACTCACAATATGCACGACAGTACACACACAAATGAAACAACAGCAGAAATAAATAGATAGTATCTTAGGTAGACTCTTTGATCTTGGGTTGTTTTGTGTTTTTATCATTTCTTAAAAGCGCTGGGTATAAATAGAGAAGCGATACATGCAACACCTCTAAATTGAATCTTACAACAGCATTTTACATTAATAAATAATTATGTTCTCAAATCAGGATTTTTTAAATTTAAGTCAATGATCACAAACCACGCAGTAATGTGGTCTCCATTTGGCAAAACAACACCAATGACATATAACACAAACTGGGCAAGTTATAGCCTAAATTTTTTCATGAGGAACTAGTGACACTATGAAAGCTAAAATTAAATTGAGAATTAAGCATCAATATCAGAAAATCCCCCTCCAGCAAAGCTTCTGTGCCTGTAAGACCCCAGTCTATAACATTTTAGATAACCAGTATTTGTGTCGTCAAAAATAACATTCTTTACAAAGGCAGCCATTTCATTTTGAATTCAATTTTAAGCATTATTTTAAATTTCTTCTCAATGAAGATCGTAAATCGGATAAATTGGGTGGATAGGGGAGGGTATGATTTCTGTTAAGTCTTCTATGATTTTTTGAACTGATACAGTTCTAAGGTGTAAGAACTATTTATAAAGGCGCAAAGTCACCAGCGTGCAAAAGTCTTATTGCTAAGTATCAAGCATTGGAGGTCTACAGAACCTGTAATAAATGCATATACTGGTAGATGAAGATATTACAAATTGCATGTCATTGTTTTTTAAAAATGAGTTACAAAATGTTATTTGTTTCATACATACTGAATGGAAGACAAACTTTGAAGCTCTCAATCACTCAAATAAATCACCATCTTTGAATTGGTATAAAATTTCTCTCTAATCGCTCTAAGCAACACATGTACACAAATGCGCTAAACTGGATTATAAAACAAGCAACAAAGCTCAGCTCATATTCATAGTGTGAACACACATTTGTGGGTGCAAATGTTTTCTTTTGAATAAAACCCAAAGGTTCCCAGATAAGGCCCTAAAATTGATAGCCTTTATTAACATGTAAGCCTTGTGTAATACTTATATAAATTTTAAATGTCACATGTAATTTTGTTTGGGTAATCAGTCAAAATATTCAACATTTTCGGCAAATATAAACTATTTGCACTCCCAATTATTTGTGTGTGTTGCAGTGAATATTCAAAGATATACACATATATGCATGCATTTTGCATAAACAACAGATTCCTTTAGATACCTGTGTTTATTAGCATTTGCTTTGCCTGAGAATATGAGGCAAGTTGGGCAGCATTGACTACCATTGCTCTGAACACTGTTGGACCAGCACCCTGCAAGTGTGCAATTACGTTACTTATATGAAGATGGCCGCAATCACTACTATAGCGGTGTATATTAACTACAGGATTCATATTTTATCTTATTCACTTATTGAACATATTATGTTGTAATTTATTATACATTTAGTTGTTTGTAGTTCACTTAAAAATATTATTTATTTATTGTAACTCTCTATTAATTGGAGGTAATTAAATATTCAATACAATAAACAAGCCTTGGGCCAACACTGATATATACCCCTATCTATAATCAAAGCTTGCACAAGAAAACTACAGACTTCTGCATTTCAATAATTATGTTAAATGATAAAATATCAAAATGTAAGATAATATATTGGATGATGTAGAATATATTTGAAGTAGCAAGTGATTTTGGTCTTGAAGAAAAAAAACAGTTTTCAGTTTTCATCTATACTATAACAATTTTGTGGTTTATGGCTATATTTAATTGACTTGAAGTGCAGTTTGAGGTTGATCCAAGAAAAACTTTTTCAATTTTGAAATTTTTCAAATGTTTTCAAAACTTTAATTTGACTCGGAAGGTTTAAACAACTTGAATTGGCAGCAGGTATTGAAGGTTTATGAAGTTTCTTCAAACATCTTACTTGGAGCTTAAATTGAAGGTGTTCCAGAAGTGAAAATATTTTTTGAGGCGCATCAGAATTCCAGTATTCTGATTGGTTAATGCTGTACCATGTGATCAAAAACAATTGATAGCAATTGACAAAACAATAAAACAAATATTTTATCCTATGTTTGAGCTATATCTGCCACACTGATTATGGGCATTGACACAATGATTATGGGCACATAGAAACCTTTATATTCTTTATTCCAATTCTTTCTCCCTCTGTATAACAGATTCCACCTTTAAAATGATGCTATAGTGATGTTTCTTACCCTCCATAATGTAAGTATGCCCTCCTCTGAGGTGATCCTACTTAAAGCATTGAAAGCACTAGTGTAGTTACGTCTCTCAGCAGCTGGTAGTCTACAAAAAATTCAATGATGAAGGTTTTGATTTTAGCCCTGCTACTTCCATTTTTGCAATTCTTTGTAACACATAAAGTAATTGTAGAGGTATTAATGGAGTCTATTAGAACAGTGGACAGTTACAACTAGGATGCATTTAACAAGTAAATTATCAGTCACTTCTATGCATATTTATTGGATGCCACATTATAGTACTTTACTCGAGGAAATAAAATTAAGGCTTTAAATTATGGATTTATCTAAAGTTTACTTGATAATGTTACTTAAGTAAAACTACACTTATATCCATATACTAACTTGAACACTAATTTTCAGTCACGCAAAGCAGAAATAAGAAGCAAGTTAAAACATGTAGTGTTATTTGTACATACCTACCATCTGCAGTCATTCGTATAAGAGAGATTTCAGCAGGAGTTCCTACAAATGCACCTATGGCTCCAGCTGTGACACCTATCCCAGCCTTGGTAAAGAAACCTGGTGGACTGCCATCTTTTCTATAATACAAAAAAATCAGGTTTGAAATTCTCTGTAATTTTTTTTCCATTTTGCTTTCTATAAAATCTGGTACAGTTTCAGGTTTTGAGGTTATTATTTTGATAAATCTCAAACTTCCACTGGTATAATCATTTAAGCAAAACGACAAACATGCTGTCTATGAAAATTCTAATAAAATAGTAGTTACCCTTTAAATTTATCAAATAGGGTTGTGTATACCCCTAGTCTAGTTGTAGTGTATGTTGCTTGTCTAAGAAGCCCAGCTGACAGCCTGAAATACAACAATAATCAAAATTTAGATTCTTATATTTTTATGAACTTTATCTATCTATTCATAGCAAGTCATCTATTTCTTGTACAACTCATTCAACAAAAAATTAATCAATGTCAGTAAAGGTATTTTTGCTATTTTTAAACCCTTCTTTGAATATGAATCTTTTTTACAAAAATAAAGCTCACCCTGTGTATATTCCTGTGACACCTTCATTTTTCAAGATAGCTCTTAGAGCGTGAAAACTTGTTTTGTGTTCTCTTGCTTTACCTCCTTCACCTATAAAAAAAGATTCAGTGAAACCTTTCAAGTGGAACGCCTTTGTAAGTACAAAACCTCCATTCGTGAAACACTTTTCAAAGTCGACCAGTATATGAATTATTGTTTGGGCAGACAAACATACAGTTCAATGAACACGCAGACGAATGAATGGACATATGTATGAACAGCTTCTCTATATCCTTACTTGAACTCTATTCGATATGATAATAAACACTCGAAAGTACATGATCTCTCTTGGGTGTACCTTAGCATTCCTTCATTCTAATCAGAGATCTTCATACTTTGTACCTAATCATACCCTGTACTTTATGCTTTATCTTGATAGACCCACCAGTTACCCATCTATTAGATAATAATTAAACAAAAACCTACCACTAAGCTGCATTCGATTTTTCACCAGATCTAAAGGCTGCACAAAAAGTGTAGCGGCACATCTGTAATGAAAAAAATAAAAGTAATAATGATAAAATAAACAAAAGACAGCAAACAAATTGGGCAGAACGATCCCTCGGGCTTAATAGACTAGATGAAAGTAGAAATAATCTTGATTTGCGTCATTAATATTCAAAATTAAGTGATGTCATATTTGAAATCTACATGTGAAAAAACACACCTATTTAATTGCATTTATTGACATAGGCATAGTATGATGATTTAAAACTACTTAGACTGTCACAGTCTAAGATGTCACCAGGTAGAGTGTTCCATTTAGCTATAGTCCTAGGGAAATAGCTAAATTTGTATGCATCTGTTCTAGTTGATGGTTGTATGAACTTAGAAGGATGATACAACCTAGTGTTGATATTGATCTGTTGGCTGAAGTATTGAGGCACGTTGATGGCTGCTAGGTTCTGCTTTCCTTTGTAAAAAAAGGAAAACTCTAGCAGCCTCTCAACGCTCCTTCAGTGGCTCCCACTGTAGCTCCCTTGTGTATCAGTTATAACAGGACATCGTCCTTCAGGGAGGATTGTGTAGACCCTCTATAGAGCCTATAGCAAGTCATTACTACAGTCTACAGCTGTACTGGCTGCAGGCTGGTCCTTTTGGCTAAAGTGGAAGAGCGTCAATCTTGTAAGCGAAAAGTCCTAGGTTCGATTCCTGAACGGGGCACTGAATTTAGCACATTCCCTTTCAGGTCTAGTAATTTCAGTTGTTTTCCTGGGACGATTCTACTTTCTGTTCATGTTGCTCTAATTACCCTAATTTGAATGATACAAATTTTAGTCTGACATGCTGCTCCAGTCAGTCACGACTTTGAGGTTTGGGTGTCAACTTTTGGCTTGCAACCGAAGATACCTCAAGAAAAGCCAGAAATTGCTGAAGATTTTCTTTGCAAACGAAGTTGGCCGAGTACCACGAATGTGAAGAGGACGTATCTTATTGGTCAAAAAGAGAGGCTCGGCATTCTCCGTCAGATTGAATCGGTACAATTCGGTTGTATGGCTTAGCTTCGGTTGCATGGCTTAATTTCGACTGCATGGCTCAACCTCGACTGAATGGAAAAGATGCTGTCCCTTTGAGGTTCTAACATGAATCTCTGTGATTTGGACCACAGGGATTTGGACAATCGGAATCAATTATGATCAGAATGGAAAAGGAAGATGTGAGGTGATCAGTGAAAGTGACAAAACCACTTCGTAATAAAAACAATAATAAATGTCTTACCCTGCTGTGCCTCCGAATAAGAACTTAATGCTTTTTGGAATCTCTCCATTTCCATTTGAAGAAGCCATTATCTTTCGTTCAACTGTCCTTGACCTGATGCATTTTTCCGGTTCGTGTTATTTTCCAGAGGAAACACCTATATTTCGCTATAGCGTACTACTATCGCTAGAGCGAACTACAAGTTAACAATAAAGTAAGTTCCTGAGTTTCCGTTAATTGACGTTGCAAAATAAAAAGATGCTGTTGCAGTGGCGTATTTCTAATTTAGGCGCTATATCCACTATCGACAAATATTTATGTGGACGTCAATACACAGTAAGTGACAGATTTTATAGTAACAAAGACAAAGAGTAGCGTACCAAAGACGCCATGCACAATGGACTGATTGCACATATTTCTTACAGCCCATTTCAGTTTTCACTGTTTTATTTTGTCAGTAGAACCCCAAAAATAAGAAATCAGGAGACCATTGTGTAATAATATATGGAAAAGTATATTCATATTGTACATGAATGACATTTGCAGGCCTGTCAACTGTCCCGCAATTTGCGTATTTGTCACGCATTTGCTGAAGAATTTGAAGTCACGCCAGTTTTTTTTGCGTGACAGAAAATGTCACGCAAATACGCATTTTACCTGGTAAATGTCAAGCAAAAATATTTCTGTAGAAAATTTTTCAAAATATTTTTACGATACGGTAAAAATAACGCAATTTGTTCGGATTTGTCACGCGAATCCCGTATATGTCACGCATGTTTATTGGAAATTTTCGTACCTTTTGGTCTGGACTCTCAATCGTATGAGGCTGCGTATATTCCAGTGCATATATGTAGCTACGCCCATGCATAATGTGTTTTCTCCTAAGTTGAACACTTATATGGAAAATCACACAATTTTGTAACATCACTCACTTTAGTCTACCACCATTTTGAGGAGATGCATGTTGATTACAATTTCTTCATCACTCATTAAAACCAGCTTAAAAAACTTATCAAACATTTAGAGACTGAGAAATTATATATAATGCTGCTGCATAAAGCTTTAGATAAAGCATCAAAATACTTTCCCAGAATAGGAATATTAGTACAGTTTTCTGTCACATGTATGATTTAAAAAAGTTTGTCACACATTCAGCGCACCAGGCATTGGGGAGCTATCTTGTGGCCTTAATCTTTTTATACATTAAAAAACTTTAGGGAATTAGAAATTAAGTGTAATAATAATAAATGACAAAAGTAAAAGGAACTTATCAATATACCAATACGCGATAACGTTTAGTTTTCGTTCAGTTTAGTTAGCTCTCGTTTGAAGAGCTCTCATGTATGGTACAACTTCGTCTACATCCGGGTTCTTTCCCATTGGATTACACACTCTATTAAACACTCTATTAAACATTTATGTAGAGTTGCATTTGCACAAATGATAGGTATGTATGATATAATATTAATATTAGATATATATTAAGGTATATAACAAAGCTTTTTGAACTGTAATCCCCAAATCCGAAGAAACTGTAGTTGAAAATGCCGTCCAATTCCACTGACGTCACTGATTTCCCAGAAATTGCTCAGACTTCATCGAAGATTGAAAAAATATCAATAATGTTACTTTGAATCTCTCATTATCTTTTTGATTATTGAATATATTGGATCATATAACTATGATTGAGGGCTGATGGAAGATCAGAAGCTGAAAAACGTTCAGAGTAATCGATTCGTTCAGCAGGCCAATGAGGATTTGTCCCTTCCAAAGTGTTGCATCATGGGAGATATTTATGTAAATTACTACCTGAATGGTCAGTATACCGAGTATGATCAAGAAAAGCTTGTACAATGAACAATAAAATTCGGAAACGAGTACTATAGATTTGCTATCGGACACTGAACTGATTGACCTAGATAATAGCGACATGTCTTCTTTAGTCAACTGCTAAGTTGTTTGTGGGTTTTCACTTTTCAACATCTATATAAATTAATGCAATTTGAAGATGAGTGCTTTTATTCTGTTGTTGCATCGATGTTGCAGTTTGTAGTGCTGTAAGCTTGGAATGAAAGTGTTGAAAGTCGAATGAAATTATTTTTTCCAATATGGCGACTAGTCAACTAATCACCATTGAATTCGCATGTTATTTTAAGGAACACAAAACTCATTTCATATAAAAAATATATGGTCGTCTTCTTTCACATTTGCACAGAGAGATAATGAGTGAAGAGAATAATTTTCAAAAAGGTGTATAAAAAATGAGAATATTTAGTGACCTAAATAACTTTTAATCTTAAAAAGTAAGTCACTGTATTTTCTCATGTTTTATAAAATATTATTCTTGTCACTTTTTCTAGGCACACTAATGCACTCATGTGCAAAATGAAAAGATGGAGACCTTATATGGAATGAGTTATGTGTTCCTGAAGTAACATGTGACTCCATTGACATTTGCATAAACATACACACTAATCTTAAATTCTATACAAAGCTTCTTTTGTTTCAATATTGAAGGGAGAAAAAATAACTCCATAAAAACCAGCATTAGAGATGTTTTAGTGGTGCCTGCACACAATTCACCAGTGTGTTTTAGATTTATTTTGAATTAATAGATGGCATATATGGTTCACACTTAACCAAAAATGAATGAATCATAATCAAGGGGGGGGGGGGGATTTCCAAAAGATGACCTTTGGTATTGGCATGTTTGATATTCAATTTTATAAACAGGCCTCATTTGAAATGGTTCTCACAATATTCACTGTTGTTTTATGAGTTTTTTCTTCAAGTTTATTCAAGCCATTTCCACGATTTCAAATTTTACTTTCACATGTGCAGAACTGAGAGAGCATGTGCTCATGATTGTTCAGATGATCACATCCTGCAATTTGATTGGACATCAAATGCTGAGGGGCGTGATTTAAATAAATCATGTTCATGAATACAAAAGAAAATGAAAGAATACGACATAATTATGGGAGCGACCAAGGACATCTATCTATCTATAGACGTCCTTGGAGCGACTCACTTCGTCTGAATCATGATGGTATAATATCCTTGCCACCATTTTAATATTAGAAAAACTAGACATTTAGATTTGGCTGATCAAAACATTTTTTGTATTTGTTTTTTTTAGTAATGACCCAATGTAAAAAATGTGTTTCATATGATGAAGGGGGGATTTTTTGAGAACAATGCGCTTTTGGATATATTTTACATATACATGGACTCAGTTTTTTCTGTCTATATAATACTAATGCAACCCCTGGATACAGAAGTACATAATAGTAAAGTAAAATTGACAAGGCTAAATAACATTAATGTCAAACTAGTGAAAGATGGGAGTGTAAGATAAAGATATATGGTACATTGTGTGAAAGGATGAAGCTAGTACTGAAATAATCAATTATGATAAAAAAAGACAAACAAAAAAGAAAGGACGATTCTCGGTTTGGAGAACAGTCTCCTGGGCTAATAATTTTTTTGATGAAAAATATAGAAATATTACCCAAATTAAATTATGAATATTCAAAAGAAGACATTTAAATCTACAAGATGTAAAAATAACAACTTGGTCTGAAGCAGGGATAACGCTCAATTATACCGATTCAATAAAATACAAGTCTCGATTTGAGGAAAGAAGTTCATCAGTGTGCTGCGCTAATATTTTTTTGCGAAAAATCTAGAAATATTACCCAAATTAAATTGTGACTATTCAAAAGAAGACACTCAAATCTATGTTATGTAAAAAAATCAAATTTTTCCGAAGCAGGGATAATGCTCATTTAGATTGATGAACTTCGTTCTCCAAACCGAGAATCGTCCTTTACTGATTTGCTTTATTAACTCGATAAAGAAGAATTATCAAAGCTCATCAAGAATAGACAATCTTGCACAGGTACTCATACAAGAACCTCTATGTATGACACCATTTGCGATCGCACCCCCCCACAACCAATAAAAATAAAACCATGAGATAGAAGAAGAAAAGAGCTTTAAAATGCTTTTATTTGAAGCTTCTAGCTCAATTTTGAGGGAAGTTGCATCAATTTTTGAAAAATTCAAATCAAATATCTTGTGTATGCCAAAATCGCACCACCCTGACTGAAAACTGAAATTTTTTTGGCGATCCCATCCCCCCTGACTGAAAGCTGGGTACGCCCCTGTTAAGTTTATATAAATAGGTACATGTCAATGCTTTTTATAGCTGCTATAGTAGTGATGCCTGATCTTGAAGGATGCCTTACATGGGTGTAGCGCTATGAGTAGTATGTCACCACGGGAACATAAGTTGAGGGAAATGAAAAACAATCATTCTAGGTTGAGTCTCCCCCAGAAAATTTTGAAGTTTAGTTGTAGAATTAGACTGTATGTTACTGCCATCTTTATTCAAGATTTCCTTTAGTTTAGAATGTTTGACTCATTGGATTTAAGCACCATCTTTACTTGAAAGTGCTCTCTACTGTTAATAAAATTATACATTTTAGCCCATGATACCCAGTGGCCTGAAAATAAATTAACAATAAAGCATTTAAAGCTGGACTTCCCTCCGAAACGCAATCTTGGGTTGTTTCGGGGGTGAACTTTATCATTTTGAGCTTAATGAAAGATTATAGAATGATGAACAAATGGGGCAAATCTTGTGTAGAAATACTTACGATAAATGTGTCATTTCAAAGATTTTTCATTGAATTTGCTTCGATCGGTGCCGGCGATATGATTTTGGAAAGGTTTCTAAATGAAGAACGTGACGTCACTTCCGAATCATAGCATTCAAAATAAGTAGCGTTTAATTACGCTCACACTTCACAAGAATTCGGTGGTGTAACGGTAGAATCCTCGCTTAGCACGCGGGAGGCCCGGGTTCGAATCCCGCACTCGCCTTTTTATTTTTTTAACTAAATGATTGTTCTTTGATATTACGCAGAAAAAAACAATTTTTATTTACATAAACTTTATATTAGAGCTTGAAAATGTAAAAACAATATATGTCAACATATTGCGTTTTGGAGCGATGTGCAGGTTTAAGATTTACAATGAAGCATTTATTTAAAATTTTTGATTAAAATGTCTCTGACATTTAAGTTTCATAATCATGCAAAATATGGGGGTCATGGACTTCATTTGTCATGTAAAACTAGAAAACATGATCTCCCATGTTAGGGTATAG